TGTGTATGAAGCAGATCTTAAAGTATAATATATGCTCGTATGATTGACGCAAACGTGACATTTCAAAAGTAGTAGATTAAAATTGTTCACTGTAGTCGGATCCGAGTGAAATGCGTTTTATGAGAACATATATTACCTCAAAAATGTGAGTGTCACAGAAACTTTCATATAGAAATCCACAATCACATTATTCCTAAGTTCGAAATATTTTTACGAGACAACTAAAAGAAAAAATAAGAAAAATACACTTGATCGCTTATAATATATGTATGAGTTAATCAATACGGTACATAAAACCGTGAACTTAAAAACTTCATAAACAGTAATTCATTATTAACAATATTATTGACGTCAAATACATATGTTATTTTCAAATTTATTATTTAACGTTATTTTGTGAATTATTACTATATTATTTGAAATATTTGTTCAAAAAGTGGAGATTTATGATTATAATGTAGTACTTATATGTTGCTTGTTGAAATTTTAAACGTCAAAGCTTAACACAGTGAAAAGTTTCTGTATAGAACAAAAAGGGTTTTAATGGTAAAATATTCTTAACCGTACTTGATCTATTTTCAAACTAAAAATTTAAAATGAAATGGCTGGATGCGTTTTTGTAATGCATAAAATCGTAATTAGCATTTTCTAGCAAAAAAAAATATAAAATTATAACAGTCTTAATCAATTTACGTTCCAAACATAAAAACTTAATGTGTAATTTATACGAGCATATATTATTATATTTCTAATAAAATTAACCGACTAAATATTGATTGGAAAAACGTAGATGATTATCGGCTTACATGAAAAAAAAGTTTAATATTTTAATATCGACCTCGAAAGCTGAAAAAAAATTAAATACAAAGCACGCTAACGGGGTTTTCCTTTAAATTCGATGACATGGCATTAATATAACAATATTATTATACTACGTAACATATTATTATAAATACTTCAAGAATAATTTCATACCACACTCGATTACGTCAATATTTGACGCGTCGATCATCGATTACCTAACTAGATTGCTTAGCGACACCTACAGGGATGAGTTTTTGTGATATTATCGAAGACAACCATTTATAATGGTATAGTTGGTTCTCCTCCATCTTTCTCAGATGTTCGCGCGCACATACACACAGCTTAAGCCATTTTTATTAGTGACAGATCCATTAAAGTTTACCCGGAGGAGTCGCTTTAATTCCACCGTTAGCACTCGGCGATCGATATCCCCGCGGCACTTATTTGCTTTCGTGCTATGTGTGTATCATATATACACGAGGTAGGAGAAATAATATTGAAGTTTGAGAGCGAAGCCATAATATATTGAAGAACGGCCGCTCAAAAACTTACCTTGTCGTAGTATATATATTTTATATAGTATCTTTATTTTATATACATCAAAAACATAAGCAAGTGACCTTATTTATAAATGCACTTTTCGTACTCATCCGCATACATTGTTTAATAATAATAATAATAATAATAATAGTTTTGAAATAATACGAGTTCCACGAGGGAAACATTATTTGATTTTAGAAGAGAGTCAAAATGGGTTACAACCTAGTTTTAAAACACGGAATAACAAAGAAAAATTCAAAAATCTAGAACATATCGAAACAAAAACCCAGTTTTTCTTCAAAAATAAAACCTGGAAAATGATTAAACTAGGTTTCAACTCAAAACTGGTATTCAAATTTATTAAAAATAATTTTAAAATTTTTAATCATGTGAAATTGCCAACTTATTTTAAATAAATAATTAAGTCAGTAATTTGTTTCTATGAGATTAAGATTGACTTACATTTATAGTTGATCTTTTAACTTGATTTTCTGGAAATATATAATTTCAATTGCTATATATTTTCACTGATGATGTCAGTATGCGATAGCATGGAAGTTAGAATATACTTCTTTGAATAGTAATTAGTCAACAATATGTTGTTAGTTATTTTAAAAAAGGAATTAAAAGTGGTTTATTTTTGTATAGGTATTATACATTGATAATAATTATTTATCATAAATGTATAAACTGTCTTTCACTTCAATTTTTTTTTATTTATTATCTGATAACATTTAACAAAAAACATCAATAAATAGCTCTCGATTTTTCTATACACTAGTTAGCGTTAGTTAATATTAAAATATATTGTATTAATTTAGGTAACCATTAATTATTCCTATTAACCTAAATCAAAAAAAACCTTTAAACTAATGTTAACATTTAAACATTTAAAACGCAAAACAATATACAACCTGGTTATAACTAATACATCAAAATCCGAAGAAAAAATCAACCCATATTGACTTCTTGATTTTTTAAACAGTAAACACGAATCATAATGTTGATCATATGTCTGGAAATAAGTTAATACATTTAATTTAATTTTCACTACATATTACCAAACCTTTTTCTTCTTCATCTGGTCTTTGATTCTCTTTAAGAGTTCTCGCCGCCATCACTAAATCCCTTAATTTTTCTCTATTCTGGGCTAATTCTTTTCAATCTTGAACTACCATTCTATTCAAGTTCTCTTCCACAACATCTAACCATCTTTTTCTTGGTGGTCTTCGGTGTCTTTTTCTCATACGCTTTCACTCCAGTACTATTTTGTTTATATCATTCTCACTGCTCTGTCACATGTGACATAGCCATTGGATTCTTTTTCCTCTGATGAAGCTTATTACTGGTGCCATTTATATTTTTTTCTTCAGCTCTTTGTTATACTTCCTCTTTCAAGTTTATTTATCATTATCATTTAATGGTCCACATATCACCCTCCATATTTTGTTCTCAAAAGTTCTGATTTTATTTTCCGTAGTGCTTGTGGTTGTCCATGCCTCACACTCGTATGTGAGTGTGGACCTGATTATTCCTGAGTACAACCTTATTATTATTACCTAACCTAACGAAGTAATTAAAAATTTAGTTCATACGGAAAATTTACAAAGACATTATTATTAAATGTGTAGAAATTTACGGGGAAGAAAAGACAATAGTAACATTCAAACAATAAACTCCATTATGTTTTTCTCAAGCAGTGTGATAGCAATTCTTATTACAACCATGAAGTCAAATTAATTTCAGTGGTAGGTAATGTAGAACAATAATTGCGCAAAAATAATGTCATAATGAAGTAATGCCGATTCAAAACCACCGAACGATAAACACCATATTATTGCAATAATATTCTACATGATTCAATATAATAAATTGCCAACACATTTGATAATTTATAACATAATTATTGGTATTTGTACTCCGATGAAATATAAAAAAAAATACTAACAATTATAAGAGAAATACAAACGAAATATAATCACACAATAGAACACTACGATAGATAATAGTATAATATAATATATTATCATAACTACGTATTTAAAAATAAAATCAAAATAATTGCGTTTTGTTCGCCCTACTGCAGAAGTATATAACGCGTTTTAGTAAACTCCGATAACTGTGAAAACGTAAGAAATATCAACGTGAATAAGCATAATAAAAATAAAAACAAAACAATAGAATGTTTAGTATGAAATATTCATAGATACGGTTTTTTTTTTTTTTTTTATGATTGATTGGAATTATTGCAACCACTGCGAATTATATTTCATTCAGATATATTGATAAATAGATATTTGGTTATTCATCGATCTTACTTTAAAAAGTAGCGAACATCTCGCGTTAATAATCGGATTTCATGATAAGCTACAACTGTAAAACTACAATGCGTCTATTAACTAATATCATTGCGTCTAAAATTGAATAAATCTTACATATTACTCTACAAAATAAAACGAAAATTCAAAATGTATTTTTCGTTCGGTTGTCAAAAATAATAATAATAATTCAATCATAATTTTACATAAAATAATTAAATGTAAACAATGTTTAAATACGCAAATAGATTTTTTCAATTTTTTTCAAAATTCACACTACTGTATTGAACAAAAACATTTATATATACCTCTATATATGTAACGTAAAAAACGTAATACAAATAATGGGTTAAAATTGCCTACATTTAAACCAAAACTCATTCTCTCCTCGAGCGTTTAGGGCCTAAAAACGATTAGCCTGGTTAAAAACTTCGATAAACAAAATATATCTTTATTTACATAAAATTGAACTCTTATATGATGTACCTTAGGTATGCTAACTATGCATTATAAAGAATCAAAAAAAAATTTACCTATATATATCAAAATGTTGTATTATTTGGTGAATATATGACTATATAGCCACTGGACAAAAAATGCGTACATCGACAAAGCACTCAGACAATGATAAAATATTTATAGCGTTATTTATATTTTATAGTACCACGCTAACATTGATGAATTGATTCGGTATCGTGTATTTATATACACGTAGATGAACTTGGTAAACTTTCTAAGACTGAATTATCGGTAGGTAGGTAAAAGGCAAATATCTATGTTAGCCTTATTATATTTAAAATATTCGCAACCATAAATATGTATACCATTTACAAGATGATTATTATTAACATAAAATACTTCCGATGCAGTGTGTACAAGACGTAAATCATAATGTTGTTGTTAAATGATGGTGGAAATAATGGTTGAGGCATAAATTGTAGCAAAAAATCGATCAAGTTACGTAGTGCATAATTTATAAAATCGATATTGTCTAGCACAAATGACGTACATAATAATACGAGTTCGCTAATACCATAAGCCGTGCACTGACATCGGCATTACTTCATTGTTAATCGATAGGATTATCGAAACGCATTTATTATTACCGACGGTGGGAATTCAATGTGCATTAAAATAACGATAATCCGTTATTACGCGAAACCCAAAACAAAAGCGCGTTAGACGACAGTGTATGTCCATGTCGTGTTATCTTCTTCGGAAAACCGAATTATGATAAGTTAAGGTGTGTCGCGTGTTTCGGCGAGTTCTATGAATTAAAATTACAACTGTCGCGTTATCGTGTTCCAAATGTTCATGGACCATTTGTTTGTGTTGTAGGACATTCAATGTGGTCGCGCCCAAAGTGGCGGTCCCGGGTCAAAGAACCGCGGTACTGGTCAGCTGGAATCCTGCGTGCAGTCCCAAGGACGTGACTTTACGGCTGCTTCGTCAGATACCGGTGACCGAGCAACAACGAGCGGCCGACGATGATGTTTTGTCCCACAACACCGTCACCATACACGGTCTGTAGAAAACACCAATTGTCCTATAACATAAATCTATAATGAACATATATGTGCCGGTTGGTAAGGGACATGACGAGCACAAGTATACACAAGGCACTTGGGTCTTTTGGGTGCGTTTGTCAAAGTTTAACGACACTCAAATAATATATATTCGGGTGCATTTCTCAAAGTTTAATGGCACATCGAATATTATATATTATATGGACGTGAACACATTATTTTGATGGCAGTAAAAATGTCCCACGTACAACTTATAGCGAATTTTTTATATCCGATAAATAACATATTGAGTATTATAATCATATGTCCATCATAATATTGTGTTCGCATATATTGAAGTTTTAAGGACTGGTTTTCAAAGTTTTTTTTTACTCGTAAGAATATAATATACTTGATGAGTTTGTCAAAAAAATAAAAAAAAAAAAATGTATATTTATGGGATTCAATGTTGTAATGCTATTCAACCGCGAATATCTAAGCTGTAAATATTTAGTTTCGAAGTACATACTATACCGATTACAAAGTAGATGTATCGTATAGACTGGACTATTCATAACCATCGAAAATTGCCAACTCTAAACATGTGTTACAAATAAAGAACAGAAGTATTAATTGTCAGTATGAAACTCGAAAGGTGTGATAGTCATTTAATACGAATATAAACATTAAGGTATTTCGTTAAGCGTCCAAATTAACATAGCGATAAAAAAAGGATTCACATGAAATTTCTAAATTACAAGTACCATAAAAGGTAGACCCACGGCCGTATATAGCCCTTTATACCTGTTAATTTATTGGGATATTCTCAGAATTATATACGTATGTATTATAATCCTTGGGCGATTACAAAGTGTAAGGTGACTATTATTTATTCAACTTTATTCTCTCTGAAAAGTGCAATATCAATCATAAACCATTATCGAAATCAGCGTAACTACCATAATTTTCAGAGATTATTATAATCCATTAAAAAGTGACTAAGCTAAAATTCTGCCAGCTAACATTATTAATCTAATAACACAAAAATATTATTTCAACATTTATTATTGCAAACATAAAACTAGTCGATTATTTTTCGATCAACATCTTTGTAAAAATAATTTTTGATCACATCTCATATTATCTAGAAGTGAATGATAGCAAATATTTGCTAAAACATAAAATATTCAAAAGTCTGTATATATTCGTTTAAAAATAAAAAGTTATTAAAAATCTCTGAAAATTAAAATGTGAAAATATAATTTTTTGTACAACTTTCAACTGGTATTAAATTTATTTACACTTGGTCAACATCAGTTAATACATTTGATAAATTTAATAATAAAAACAAAGTAATAAATGTGTATTCAAATTTTATAGAGAATAAAAAAAAAATATTCGCCATAGTGAAACAATGATTATTTTACAAAAAAATACCGTTTTTTCTGTACTAGCGTTGTTAAAAAGCGTATTAAATATGCTAGATTTGTAGAGAAAATATTGGTAAATTTTAGTGTCGAAAAAACTAAAAATTATCGTATTTTCTAGTGCTGACTAGTACATTGAAATATTAATAAATTTTATTTATACTTTATTTATTTATTTATTTAAATTATTAATTAAATTAATTAAATAAAATTAAATAATTAATAAAATGTATTGTATATTAAGTAGTAGAATAAAATGACGGACATATCATTAAATCACGAATTTCAACGTATCGATATAGTAAACAGTATAATTGCTGTATAGAAATGTTCTCGCATTGTCATTGTGCAACACATTGTGCGAACGAATGTGAGTGTACTTTTTGCTAGTTCTTTCACACTTACCCACTCCCTAACACCAATCTAACATGCGTAGATAACGCCGTCGTAGTAAACAGTATAATATTCTGCATGGTATTTACACCACTTTCAGGGTGCTGTGGATAGAAGAAAGAGGCCAATGCTTCCTTGAATAATTCGGGTGATTGGGTAATATATTTTGAGAAAAACGTACACGGAAATATGTACGCAAACTCTTCGACCGTATAATGGCGTATATTGTCACGGTGCAGTGTTCGTAACGCGTCTGTCGAGTCCAATAACGGTGAAAATATAGTATTATTGCGGTCCATAAACAATTTCAAACCTCCACGTCCCAATTTAAACATCATCGTACCGCGACCGGTCTGTTTGTGGAGGTACAATTGTGGTAGCGATTGGGGGGAGGGGAGAACGATTGATCAAATGATCTTGTCGAACGAACGTGTATACGGAATTACAGCACGTCCGGGGGTTGGGAACGACGAACGTATAGCGTCGTCGTCCGTAAAATATTTCGGTAACGTGGCAGGACGAATACTACGGCATAACAATTAATCTCGATTAGTATTCAGGAAAGCGGGCAGATTTTCTTGTGACGACCGAAACATGATCGGATAAGGGTGGACGCGAAAAAGCGACGAACGTAGATGTTCAGGATATCCACCACGGACCCGGTGGCGATGGAGGCTGAGTCGTCAAATATTTGAGCGCCCGTGTGATTAATTATTGCGTTTTATTGGAGATACGAGACGGCAGTGACGGTACGAAATTTGTCGACGATAACCACTAACTAAGTGGTGTTTGAACAACGGGGAAGGACTGGCGGAACGAGCATTATAGGAAGAACGGGTAAATAAATGAAGCGGAAATTCTACGCCTCGTCCTATAGTGTCCATCCGTCCGTCCGCCGTCTTCCTGTACGTCCACCATTTTCGGGGATGTCGCGACCGGAGCTTGTGCCGGTGTCGCAAAACCGTTCCGTCCCCCAAGGGATCTTGTCGGCCATAACATCGGTCGGTCGGCCGTGGACGTGACTTCGATTCCCTTGGCGGCCGGTCACCACCACCATGCCGTCTCGTCCTACCCACCCTTTTGATTCCCTCTGGATCTCAAAACCCTGCACTCACCGCTGGTTATTATTTTCTTATGTACCGCAGTACGCACGCAAGTTTGACCCAATCACGCGCACGTTTGTCAAACGTTGTGTATATGCAACATACACACACACACACACACACACACATACGTACATACATACGTAAACCATGTGCAACAAACTTTTCTGGCCACACATTGAATTCAATATAATTGGATATATATGTATGTGTGTGTGTGTGTGTGTGTGTGTGTGTGTGTGTGTGTGTGTGTGTATGGGCAACCGCGAAATTCGATTTCTCCGCAAATGCACAATGGTGACACGGTAAAAATAAATATAATATATATTTTAAATAACTGACCCTAATGTTTTAATTACATGGGGTAAAATGTGGTATAGATATAAAACAAATACAACTCATATATTTATGAAAATATGCAAATTTTAACAGCAACGTACTTTTTCAGTATTTTTCGAAAATTAAATTTAAAATAAAACGATTCATAAGAATATTTAAATTAATACTACAGCCTAAAATATACAATTGAAATAAGTCTTATTCAAATAAACATTTTATGATAGAAAATTTGTACCAATTTCAATAACAATTTACGTGACTTTTATAGGCAACAAAATACATTGTCCCACATTTATTTCGTTTAATTTTTCTAAAAATAAATATATTCTGAGCTATATATTAAGATAGTTTATTTTAGTTAGTTCAATTTTTATATCACGGAATTCAATGCTAGTGTATTTTTGATATGTGCAAGTGAATTAGAGTATATAAATCAACAAATCCTAAGACTTGCATAGAGTGAACATGTGTATTTTAAATACTAGAAATTTCTATAAAATATTTTAATATAATCAGTAAAAAAATATACTCGACGAGTTTCTCTCGACTGGTAATAAAAAAATAATAACAATTATGCAGTAAAACGTGTGATATCGAATAGGAGAAAAAATCGAAACTAAACTTGCGTAATCTCGTACTCATTATTCGGATTACATACATCCAGCTTAACAGAAACACAATAGTCGTTATTATTGCATTATATATTTGGAAAAAATAAAATAAAAATATATTGTATATGCTACACTGCCGATCAAACGTACACAACGATTAAATTGTTTGTGTAAATTTCAGTCTTGCGTGATATTTTATATGTTATACTCCTGGTATCCTCGTTATTGTTATTGCGATTTTTTTTTATTCCTCTTCTTTCTACTGCCCGTCACCCTGCACAATACATCGTCTTATCGTTATCTTTGTACCACCCATGTTTGGTACATGAAGTATTTTAGGTGGTGAATATACTCGGATTATCATGCCAGTCGTACGAATCCTCGCGGATTGAAGGCACGTATTCGATCGCTCATGTTCTCTTTGATTTCGCATAAACGTACACGTATTTTTTACGCATTCGATAATAAAACATTAACCGTGGTGGCGAGCGGATAGACGGCTACGATAACAGGGACAATCGAGATTTCTGGTGTATGCACGCACGCATGGTATAGTTATATAGTTATGTATGTACGGCGGAAAAGGTCGCTTCGATACGGGGTCGTGCACGAGGTGCATGGTTCTGCCGCCGTCGTAAAGCGAGAAAGCTTAATGAATTTCCAGACACGATTCACGGACGTGTCGCTGATTCTGTATTCTCGAACCACAAAGCTCTTTGAATAATATTAATTTTCCGATGCGTCCTACGGGCATATGCGCATACTCGTAAATACGTACACATACGCACACATACACTCATATTTATATATTCACGTGTGGGAATTTCATTCGAGTAAATATAAATATTTTGCACTGTAAAACTGATTTCCGCGCAGCTTGTAGGACTCTTGGACGGAACAAAAGCGAGTATTATACAATAAATTATTACCATGCGTCATTTTCCACGATCACGAGCTAGTATTTTTTGCCAAATTCCCAGTAGGACTATTTTGAAATCGAGTTGATGGACAACTATGGTAATTTTCCCCTGGTTTTTCAGAATTCCGTATTGAACGCTGCACATATAATTATTAAAACGTAAAATTACTTTTTAGATTTCATAGCGTAAATATAATAAATATCAGAATATCTATACATGTGACAT